TCATGCTACACAAGCCCAAATGCCTTACTGGTGAGATCATGTGGCAGATAAAGTGAAGGAAGTAAATCATGCACTCCAGATCCCACTACCTCATCATTCACCCAAACATCTGCAGGTCACGAATCCACTGGTTCAGTCTCAAGCACATGAACTTGCCAAAATGTCATCCTCCAATCTAGGGATGGCAAGAGATAATTTAACCTGTTTCCTTCCTTCTACTGGTGTTCTTTCTCTGCCTTTAATTGGTGAAGCGATGGATCATTGAATCTGCTACTTGAAGGTGCAGAGGTCCTATTGCATAGTTATTGATTGGCATTTGCTGTAATCAAATGCTTCAAAAACACAATGAAGAGTGAGAATTAGCACCCAATTCATGACATTTACTTTGAGTATTGTGCTGCAGCATTTTTTGGGTCAATGTGTTTTCTATGTCATAATGACCTTGCCCTTACACCAATTTTTTTTTTAAAAAAATACATTCTTAGGATGTGAACGTTGCTGGCTGGACCAACAATTGTTGTAATTCTTATTGCGTATGAAGAAGGTGAGTCACCTTCTCAAACCACTGAACCCCATCTGCTGTAGGTACACTTTAGGAAGGGAGTTTCACAACTTTGACCCAGCAGCAATGAAGAACTAACGATGCCGTCCTAAGTCAGGACACTGTAGCTTGTATGAGGACTTGCAGATGGTTGTCTTCATGTGAATATTACCACAGTTCCTAGGAGATAGAGGTTGCAGATTTGGAAGGTACTGTTAGAGCAACCTTTAAGTTGCTGCAGTACGTCTGTTGGATGGTACACATTGCTGACATTCTGCATTAGTGCATGGACAGAAGAAGTGCATGTTTTAAGGTGATGTATTGGCTGCTGATCACAGTCTGTTTTGTCTTGGATTGGGGCCATGTTAATGATTAGTGTTGCAGTTGCACTCATCCTTGTGCATGGTGGAGTAGGCTTCAGGAAGACAGAAGGTAAGTTACTCACTGCTGACTTATGAACCTTGAACCGGCCCTTGTAGCCACAATATTTATATGGCTCGTTCAGTTCACTTTGTACCCCTAGAATGCTTACAGTGGGGCATTCGGCATTGGTAATGTAATTGAATGTTGAGGGGAGATGGTTAGATTCTGTCTTCTGGGTCACTGGCTCATACTTGTGCAGCATGATTATCAGCTCAAGCCTGAATGTTGGCGAGGTCTTGCTGAATGCAAGTATGGATTGTTTCATCATTTGAAGAGTTGCGAGTAGCACTGAGCAGTGAATGTCCAATTTCTGACATGATGAACAAGATGATGGGAGATTCATTTTTGGTTTGTTTTGAATTATAAATATTGTGCGCTTACTCTCTGATTCCAGTCAAGCTAAAGTATAAGCAAACAACAAACCAAGGCAGATAGTTTATTGTACAAGTTCCTGACTTGGAGATAGAAGCTAGTAATTGGATTACAATGTATCAATTGCCTTCACAGTCAACAATTAAAGTTTGATTTTCCATAGATTGCAGCATAGAAGTGGACCTGGCTTATAAACAGCCCATTTCTGAGGCACCATAATGCATATTTAATCCTTTACATGGCCTACAAACCTTCCTCCCCTATTTCTTCAGCTAATAAATGTATGTTTAGGGCTATTAAGGCTCTGCCTTAATTTCTTAGCCCAAATATGTATTTAATGTTATATTTGAGTTATAAATAGTCACAATTGGGTAATATGGCTCAATGGACAAGTGGGAGTTTAAAATGTGCCCACACAGGGCAGACAGCATGTGGCCGCTCAAACAGATATGTGTCCAGCTGCAAGAATAAAATACAAAATTCATTTCAAGCTAAAGCAATCAGAATGGTTACATCATCACTAGAAATGCAGTGCATATACACTCAAATGGGCTAAATCAAACAGACACTAAAGATTGCAGAACAACGGTTAGTTGGTGTTGCTGCTTTACACAACAATGTCTAGCATAGCAGAGCAAGTCCTAGAGCACTCACCCTACTGAAAGACCTTGAGACTAAAATTACTATGAACTGGTAATTTATAATCCGATGAAGGCAAAACCACAAGTGCCCATTATGTCACATCCACGATAAGCATGAAACAGCTATGAATTATGATATAATCAGCAACCAAATGTTCAGACCTTTCAAAGAAGGTGGAGTATCCAATTCAGTGAATGGAGAGTTTGAAGATTTGTTAGGGAGGAGTGATTGAGACCGATCTAGAATGCGATTCTTATGATGATTCTTTATTCAAAGTGGCTGAGGATGAGTTCAAACACTTAATCATCTTTAATATCTAGTGCAATTTTGATTGAAAAAGTTATAGAACATAGAACAGTAAAGCACACGTATGATTATGATTTCAACAATCCTCCCAAAATCATTTCATTTATTAAAATTTAGTATATTGATTTACTTTGATTAACTCATGTTTTTTTCACATGTCAAAATGCTGTCCACCAGCACCAGCACCAGCACCAGTAGTTCACATTTTATACTCGGTGTGCTGATCAAGTCCTGTTTTAGGAAGGATTTCTTAAAGGTCGACTTGTACACTGCAGTCTACGGCAATCCAAATATATAACTTGTAAAAGTCAGAGTCATAGACTCATACAGCACAGAAACAAACCCTTCGGACCAACTCCTCCATGCCAACCAGACATCCCCATATCCCTCTAAACCTTTCTATTCGCGTATCCGTCCAGATGCCTCCACCACTTCCTCCGGCAGCTCATTCCATACATGCACTACCTTCTGCTTGAAAAAGTTACCCCTCAGGCCCTTTCTAAATCTTTCCCCTCTCACTTTAAACCTATGCCCTCTAGTTTTGGATTTCCCCCACTCTTAGAAAAAGCCTTGGCTTTGCATCCTATCTATGCCCCTCGTGATTTTATAAACAAAAGCAAATTAAATTAGATTGATCTCAAACTTAGCAGCAGAATAATGCCCCATTTGATATAATGTAGTATATCCTCTGACTTGAAATGAGCAGCATCAAGAAAGATCTGTTGGTCCTTTATTCAGATTGGTCTATAAGTAATCCAGTTGTTCACCAGTTGGGCTGGATTTTATGTTCACTATCTATTGCATTTGAAGGTGGGTGAGGAGGTGAAATCAAGTCGGTAGCCCTCTTGTTGACTTCCCACCTGCTCCAAACCCCTCCGCTCTTTCTTTTATTGCTTTTCTTAAAATCTTTAACAAGAAGTAGCCCCATGCCCTGTTACTACCACCTCATTCATTCCATCAACCGCTTGTGACCTTTATAGTCCCAATACCAATGTAATGTGAATCTTGCTTCTAAACTTTTCCCCTTGCATCTACCTTGTCAATTCACCCTGTATCTATGAGGACAGACTACAGGACCCATGCTGAAGTGAAATAAAATAAAGTTATTATGTGTAAAAGGAAACTGATTAAAAACCTATTCATTACAATTAACTATCCTTAATCCTTCAGAACATCAAGTATTGGAAATCATAGTCCCACTTCAATGTCTATAATCACTGAGCTGTCAACCAAACTGTGACCTGAGGGGCACTCCACTGTGATAATGGATTTTGGTGAAAACAATCTTAAAATTATAGCATTCAGGCTTTGGTCCACAGACGGAATGAAATAAAATGGTTTTTCAATTATTTCAACAAAAGATATTTTAAATACTTTGACAACCTTACTGACAGTTCATGTTGACAATTTTGGTTCGTTTGTGCGCTTTTGAGCCTATGTTTAACAAGCCCATAGGTCACCTGATACCTTTTCAAGTTATCCTGGAACCAAATCCAAAAGGACATGTTATCTCTCCTACTTATCTAATAAACTTCGCAAAATTTAGACCTGTCCTATGAGATTTAATCTGCAAACATCACGTTTCCTGCTTCTGACTAATAAAAAATCAGGCGTGACTGAAGGCAGCTATAATAAATGGGTAGCTGCTTCAGTCAACTACAGATGTACAGAACCTGCCTCTGTTTCTCTCCATCCCCACCAATTGCGTATGTTACAGGTTCTGTGTTTAGGTGCAGGAATTCCATATTCAGGCCCCCAGACCCATTTTGCAGCAGCGGAGACCAGACCTAGCCATTACTGACCCTGCAAGAAGGCTGGAAAAAAATGGAGTATGGAAGAAATTATGATTTCCTGTTCTAAAAAAAAACGTAAAATGTAGCTATTCTTTCATCCAGAATAAACTTTGGCTGTGTATTCATTTAAACAGCTTGCTGTAGAATTGTACATTAACACTATCACTGTTCTGGAGTGTGGAGACCAAAATCTAGATTTTTGAACCAGCTCTGATATTTCACATTTTGGGAGAGTTTTCATGAAGTTGGTTTTTTTTCCTAAAATTGCCCCTCACTTGTGTTTTTCAATGTTCCTAGGGCAGGAACTATCAAGGTTCAAAAGTAGGACAGAAGCCGAAATGAATACGCAGGTATTGACTGTGTAACATCAAATTTGGCTTTGAAAAGTAGATGTCCATAGAAGAAAGGAAACAGTTTTGGGAGGTGAAGTCCTGGGGAAGGATCAGATAGAGTGAGAGATTTTTTAGTAATGACAATTGTGGGAGAAAAAGCATGGAGGATGAAACATTTAGGACTTAAATGCAAGAGAGTAAAATTTAGAGGAGTATTCACCATGGATGTTTTGATTAAAATAAAGATGAGAAAGGGCGAAGATGAAGGATGGATCATCTCTCAGATGACATACCTCCTTGTTTGCTTCTGTTTGCAGAATCAGCCCAGTATTGAAGTCTTTAAAACAGACAGATTTTAAAATCTTTATTCAGGAATGACTAAATTTGATGCTATTTATGGTTTTCTTTCCCTGACCTTTCTGATGCAGCAAAAACTATATCAGGTTTGTTTATTACAGCCTGGCCATCAGTGGGTTAGACTCCTGTAATGTAAATGGGTTTTCCATTTTTGTAATCCAGAAGAAATTATTTTGAGGTTTGATGTGCATATGCAATCAATGCAAAAATTTACTTTTTTTGGTTCTTTTGTAGGTCTGCCAATCAAAGAATATCTGCAGAAGAATCAGACCCTATCTGAGTTTTTCCTGAACAATGCATCACTTCCCACAGAGGTGATCGATGATTTAATGGCAGCAAAATTAAATCTCAATCAGGTAATCATCCTTAAAATGTAATTATATGTAAGGTTCTTGCAGGGGAACTGTATCAAGTTGCTGCTGGGTATGATGTGATACATTAATCAAAAGAGTTCATGGTGATGCCTCTGACCATTATGTAGGCAAATTGGAAAAGCTCAATCCCCGGTCTCACTATGAGTAAGTATTGGCAGTGGTACTTTAGTGACAAAGAGAACAAAGCAATCAAGGTTTCTACTGATTGCTAGATGTAAAGTCTTGATGGAAAGTTTACAAACTAGTCATGGAAAATGATCATATTGCAGGATTGAATAATGCACCAGCCTCCCTTGTCTGGTGCTATACAGAAAGAATAATTTCTTGTGCGTGGTAACTGCAACAGAGTAAGGGTTATCTGTACAATTCTAATAGCCCTGATATGTCCTAAAGGTTCTGCCTCCCACTATAACTTTGTTAGGAGAACAGCAGAACTTCCAGAAAAATGACCAAACATACACAGGAGATTGGATAAACCCTTGTAGAAAATCAGGATCCACATCTTAAGGAGAAAGCTTAGGGAAACAAAAAGTGTATTCAAAAATGTGGTAATATGAAGTACGAATGGAAAGGGTCGGCGATCATTGCCTGTGATTCCGTTGGGTCCCTAGTGAACATGTTCACTTTCTGTACTGTATTTTTGGGATTTTTAAAGTCAATTTCTGCATCTATGTTACACTGAAAGGTTTTGTTAAGGACCACTACCTCAATCATCCTGAGGATTATGCAATATGCAGAGTTGGGTTCTGAATAATGCCTCGCATGACTGAACTGAACTTTTGTTCTGGGTCTTGAATCACTTCTTTTTTGTAAAGCATTTCAGAAAATTATGTTTTTATTTGAAGAAATAGTGCATGGCTTGTCAGCAGCAGTTCAAAACCTGAGCCAATTATTCAGTGAAAAGTGCACACACTGATTGCCATTGGAGCAGCCAAGTGATCACTCAGTTGTCAAGAGCATCATTTGACCAAAGCCCAATGCACCACCTTAAAAATTCAATCCCTCCACCGGTAGTGCTCATTTGAAGCAGGTTTCACTGTCCACAAGATGCATTGTAGAAACTTGGCAAGCTCTCTTCATGCCACTTTCCAAACCTGTGACCTCTACCATGTGGGGCAAGGTCAGCAGATGCATTGAAACACAAGGCTCCCTCCAAGTCACTTGCCTTCCTGATTTGGAAATATATTGCTGTTTCTTTACTGTCACTTATTGGAAAAACTTGGAAAGCACCATCTTCTCAAAAGCATTCGGAATGATTAATTAATGCTGCCTTTGCCATTCGTGCACACATCACATAAACCAATTACTAAAAGATGAACCTCAAGTGTAGAGTTATCACCATGGTTAAGTGTCAGAGGGTTATTTTTTGGTGTTGGAGAAGTAAATTATGCTATTAGATTTCTACATACATACTTGGACCTGACTTTAGTCTGCCTGGGTTTGGATTTTGCAGATATCCCTTGCTGGTTCAAGGGAAAGTTTTAAAGAGATTGCTTGCAACGTATCTCATCTCTCCAGTTTCTTGGCTACAAAGAATAAGAAGGCATTCAACCGTTTACAGAAGAATCTATGTGCCTTACCAGAGAGAACACTGCAAAAAGCAACAACTATTTTCCTTTCTGAGGTCAACTTCTCCAAACTCTTGGCGGTTAGTTTGATTTTTTGTTATTCAATAATCTAAAGTCTGTGTGATTATATTAAGGTGTTTGTGTGGCTTGTTAACTCTGTTTGCTAATTTCACTTGCACCATGATGAAGCTCAGTTATACAGCTTCAACCTAGCAGTAGTTTAATATATTGTGTTAGAGTTCCCCTGCCTTCATCCTTGAACTTATCATGAGCACCAGCAGAGGAAGTCAGACAATATGAAAGCATCCCATTAGGTCATTGAGCCCAACATAGCAGATAACAAATCTAATAATCACCTGGTAGGAGCAAATATAGCAGATGCTGGAATCTGTACTGAAAACAACAAATGCTGGAGATTGCAGTGGGTCAGGCAGCATCCATGGAGAGAGAACAAGCTAGTGTTTCAAGTCTAGATGACGCTTCATCAGAGCATCGTGCTCGCAAGCCCATTTGTCTGTCCTTGGCATGCTGCAGTGCTCTAATGACTCACAGCGCAACCTAAAGGACCAACATCCATCTTCAGACTAGGCACTTTACAGTCTTTTGGTCTTAATATTGAGTTCAACACCTTCAAATTGTGAACCCACTCCCACTTCTTCCCTTTTTGTTTTTAGCTTTACTTGTTACATTCTTTGTCACCATTTCCTCTCTCCTGTCCCCCCCATCCCAGTGGGATTGTCTGTTCTTTCCAGTTTGGTAGTTAGACACACCCCTGTTCTGCCATTCTCACCTTCCAATCACTTAATCTGAACTCTACACCCCATCCGCCCACCCCCCTCCCCATCCCCAACTATAGTATAAATACTGCCCCCTCCACACTTCACTTCAGCTTTGATGTAGAGTCATCTAGACTCAAAACATTAGCTTGCTCTCTCCATGGATGCTGCCTGACTCACTGTGATCTCCAGCATTTGTTGTTTTCTAGTCATCACCTTGCTGTTATGTTGTTTTAAGATACACCTAAGCAAAAATTAATCTTGATTAACATTTCATCTGAAGGGATTACATTGTTAACATTGTAGTGTACTCTCAGCATTACACTGGAGTGCCAGCATGAATTTACCCTAGAATATGGATTGATCCTTCTGATTCTTACACAAATATATTGGGAGTTCAATTCAAGGTAGCGCCTTTATTTTGCTAAGCAAACAGAAAAGTGCTGTGTTATCCATTTACTAACATTTCTGACTGATACAGACATAGCTGTGCAATTTTAATAACTGTATTCTGTACTTATTTTGGCTCTGAGATTAGAGTTTTGAAATGTGGAATCTTGTAACAGTTGTATAGGGCATTGATGAGGCCACTCCTGGAATACTGTGTACAGTCTTGGTTCCTTAGGATATACTGCCATTGGCGGTAATTCAAACAAGATTTAATGGGCTGATTCCTAGGATGAAGGGGTTGCCTTATCAAGAACAGCTAAACAGGCTAGGCCTTTATTCATTAGAATATAGAAGAATGAGTGGTGATCTTACAGTAAGACTAGAAGGCAGTAAGAAATAGGAACAGGATTAGGCCATCAATTCTGCTGCACCATTCAATGGGATCATGGCTGAACTGACATTCCTCACACCCACCTTCCTGCCTTTTCTCTGTAATCTTTCATTCCCCTACTGATCAAGAATCTATCTATCTCAGCCTCAAACATAGACACAACAACTCTACTCCTACAGCTCTCTGTCACAAGGAGTTCCAAGAATATGAAGATTGTGAGGGTGCTTGGCAGGATAGATTTTGAGAAGATGTTTCCGCTTGTAGCGGAATCACGATCGACGGGTGGTAGTTACAGAATACGGGGACACTCATCTAAAATTGAGAGGACAAGAAATTTCTTCTCAGTGTAGGTGAATGTATGAAATTCTCTATCCAAGAGAGTTGTGGAGGATGCATCACGGAGAGTATTTAAAGAGGAGGTAAATACATTTTTGAAATATTGATGAGTTGAGGGCTATGAGAAGTTGACATGAAAGAGGAGTTGAGCAGATCAACCATGATCTTGTTGAATTGTGAGGAAGGCTTGAAGGCTAAATGTCTGCTCTTGTTTCTTGAGTTCTTATGTTATAACAAGCCTTTGCTTTAGCGATATTGCCAAATGATACACATATGTAATCTTACTAATGATTTTCCCTTTATAAGAAAAACTGTCCTTTGCAGTGACAGAACATTTTGCTTTTCATCTGGTGTTGCTATTGAATTCTTGAGTTGATCAACATCTGATGATAGGCAAATCCTGTTTATTTCCATTTTATACTGTAACAGTACAATTACCAGTTTCTGACCTATTGTTTGCTCTGCAGGAGAGGATTACGTTTAGTGCTGGGAATGCACTTGATGCATCTAATGCCCTTAACAGTTTTATACACAGAGTGGGATCTCTTGTGCAGCAGGTAAGTTGATTATAATGATAAAATGACTACACAATAATGTGACAGTAATTGATGGGTACATAGTGCTTCAGTATCTCCTGATTTCATACTGTCTCCTTTTCATATATTTCTTTCTCTTATCCTGTATGTCTGCAAGTGCATTTCTTCACCTTTTCTTGATTGTCTCTTAATATCACCCAAGTAGCCCACTTTTCAGAGAGCATGGAAGAAAGACACACGGAGCAAATTGTGGATGTTCCAAGCCTTAATGCCAAGTGCATTAGTGAGGTGCTCTCGTGTATGTCCAACATGCAGATCCACATTTATTATCTACTTTCAATCTCTTTATTTCCAGTCCACTCCAAGTTAATTCAACGTTGGTTACATTAAAAAGTGTTCTCTTAGTTTTCTGTGACCAGCTAAGGGCAATAAATAGCAGCAGAAAACTGGGAAGCCTATGATTGTATGAGACATTAGATTATGGTAATCCAGTAGTTATGTTGCTGGACCATTAAGCCTGGGAATAAGAATTCAAATCCCAACGAGGCCATTTGAGAATATAATTTGGGTTCAAAAATAACTGGTAATAAAAAAGCAAAAGCTCTCAGGATTGTCACACTAATGTCAGTTGTGAAGGATTACTGATGTCCTGATCCAGTCTGACCTGTACATAACTCCACTTGCCACACCAGGGTGTTTGACTCTTAAACTGTCCTCTGAAGTGGTTTTTCAGCCATTTTAGCTGTGGTTCCAGAATAAGTTCCATTTGCTGTCTTTTTCGTGGCAATTTGAAATAGGCAAGAAATGCCAGGCTTCCCAGTATACCCATAACCTTCGAACAAATAAAGGAAAGGAAATTGGGAACCAGTTTGGGGGCTGTTTATAATTTTATATTCAGCCATATAATTGGTCGGAAGATTGCACTGCACACCTCCCAGATTGTTAGATGACCTTCAATTCAAAATTGTTGAGAGGTTCCAGCTCTCTAGTTGTGAGAGTAGCTCTTCAAAACAAAAGTTAAATTAAAAGTACAACGACAGGACCTGACCATATTAGCAGTCTAATAGAAGATCTTTCTTTCTTCCTACACCAAAGTCTTTGTCCATGTGATCATAACCCAGTCCCACAACTGTCTGTTTTTTCACTTTTAATCTCTGTGAAAGACTTTGAAACATTTTTGTTTAAGGTGCTAAAGAAATGTGTGGTCTGTTGTTGTTGCTGAATCTTTGGTTTTGTAAAGTGTGCAGTTGGAGATGTGATTAGGTTGGCTCTCGTGTATTCCAAAATTGTACAGTCTTCTGACCATCCCTCTCTTTCCCTGCTCACGCATGAAGAATATTCACGTAGGTGAGGTGCTGGAGAGAAGTTCACAATTGTTGAATTATATCTTGATGAGACTTTCAGGAAAGAAAGGGCGAAGGAGAAATCGGCGAAGTAAAGTTTTTTAAAAATAAAAGCCTGTGGTTGGGGCTGGTTTTGTTTTATTCATGTTTTTCCTGTTCTGTATTTTTAAGACTTTATATTGATCTATTGTTTACATTTCTGTAGTAAGTGTACAGTGCTGGTCACCACAAGCATTATGTGCTGGCTTAATTATAATCTTATTCAATAGGACTTTTTCAACTGCAACTTTTCTGCTTTTGTGAATTTATTTGTCTTCTCCCCCATAGTTCTCATGAGGTGTTAGAGCAGAGACTCCAGATAAAACAGATGCCAAGAATCAGTGAAAGGATTTTAGGGACACTATGAAGAAAAGTCTCTTGGAGTAGCTTGCATGAAGGCATTGTGTTGTGTTCAATCCGCTTTCAACACATTCACCACTTGGCCAGAAGATTGGAAAGAATTTAGCTGTTACTTGAAATTCCTTTGATGCTACACTATAAAACCTTTGTACCAGAACAGGATTTGTTTTTTCTCAAATTGTTAATTTGCAACAGCTTGAGTCTGATTCTGACTGATTTTATCTCTAGTTATTTTAGGCTGAGTTTATTTGGCCTGATGAAGCTCAAATGTCAACTCTACTATCACTTGTGGACTGGCATTCATCATTGGCCCTGATATCAACTGCAGATATGAAATCAATTGAACTAAATAACAAGATTCATAGTTTAAATTGAGAGCGACTGATATCCAAGTTGTATGCACAGGGTACCATTAAGCATTCAGTTGAATAATTTTGTTTCAAAGATACACAAGTAGCTCAGATGAGCCTGAAACATTACCACCTATGTATCTTTCAAAGATGGGTAGAACAGTAAGATGAGAGGAGGACATTAGTCTACAAAAGGATATCGATAGATTAAGTGAGTGAAGAAAAAAATTGGCACGAGCAGTAAATCTAGAAAGAATAGAAAAGCAGTATTATTTAAATGGAGAGAAACTGCAGAACTTTATGGTACAAAGAATCTAGGTTTCTTGGTACATGAATCACAAAAAGCCAATATGCGGATACAATGAGTGATTAAGAAGGCAAATGGAATGTTTAGTACAAGGGGAATGTAATATAAAAGAAGGAAGTTTTGCTACAGTTGTACAGGGTATTGGTGAGATCACATCTGGAATACTGGACGCAGTTTTGGTCTCCTTACTTAAGAAATGATGTAATTACTTTAGAAGCAGTTCTGAGAAGGTTCATTTGAACCTTTCCTTCCAAGATACTCATTTCATCTCAGGAATGAGTCGACATTAGAGTCTAGAAAAAATGAGAGGTGATCTTATTGAAACATACAACATCCTAAAGGGAGTTGGCAAGATGGATCCTGAGATGATGTTTTGTGGGAGAGATTAGAACTAAGGGACACAGTCCAAAAATGAAGTGTCTCCTACTTAAGAGGGAGACAAGGAAAACTATTTTCTCATGTTAGTCCAGGAATTTACTTCTCATAGGGGAGTGGGGATGTTGAATATTTTTAAGGCTGAGTTATATAGGTTCTTGATGAACGTGGGAATCAGATGTTAAAGAGGGCAGAGAGGAAAGTAGAGTTGAGACCACAATCATAAAGCCAGGATCTTATCAAATGGGGGAACAGGCTAGAGGAGACAAATGACTTATTTCCGCTTCTAATTTGTATGATCATGTGATGTGCCTTGTTGTTGTGATTCAGAAACAACTTTAATCATTAAATTAAATCTTATTCAAAGCGTGGGAATGTTCAAAGAGTAGAAAGATAAATACAGTAGGTTCTGCTACAGCGCAATAGTTGTATACCTGTACAGCATTGCATTATAGAAATAATGGGGCCTATGGGAAAAGTGGGGTTGGGGCAGACCACCAAAAAATATCACTCAAAATTGCTCAAAAACCACTCAAAAGCCTAACACAAAGGATACCCACAGTTTGAATAAATGTTTAATTCATATCTAAAAATGAAATAAAAGTAAATTTAACACCTTATCTTGAAAAAATGTCAAGATGACTTGATGGAGGAGGTGGTGTTGAGGTTGCTGTGTTGTTCATGTTGATCATGTGATGTCAGTTCAGAGTCTTTTTCAGCGCTAACATTGCACGTGGTCAGAACAAAGCCCACAAAACAATCGTGTGATGTTGGCGCATACTCCTCTGCGCACCGATGGAATTGCGTTATAGCCAACACAAGTTTGTGTTTTAGAAATAGCGTTCCCCTATTTGTCAGTGGTGTTTATAGCCAATTCATGTTGCTGGAACACACATTATAGCAGAACCAACTGTTTGTCAGGAGGTTCCACTTGTGATCCAACACTGTTAAAGGAGGCTGAACATTTTCTAGATTTTGCATCTGGTTGAACTTAATCTTGGAGATTTCAACATGTGTCCAATTCCCCTACTGTTCGATTAGCCTGTATTCCATTTTTTTTATTTAAAAATATAACAGCGTGCAAAGAAAATAGAAACCTTGTTTCTTGATATCCTTTTTTTCTCCTTGGTGACCATATCTATACTCAGGGGATTAATCTTTAAATTCTGGAGACTCCCAGACAGTCCCAGAGTGTTAGCAATGGCACTTTTCAAAGACACGTGTTCAATGGGCTAACAATGATTCTATTTACTATAATCTGGTATTTGAAATTCATGTCTCACGTTATACAACTACATTACCTTATAAATATTGGATCTCGCTAACCTGATGAAAACACCGAATACATAGCACAAACAACTAACAATATGAATCAGAATGCAGTGTAACATAAATGCAGCAAGAGTAACTGTGTGTCAACTTTGTGAGCATTGTTTCTGATCCAATTCAAATGTATCAAATTCACAAGCAAGGTTTTGTCGACTGTGCCTCACTTTGACTTTGTAGAATCATCCTCATTTAATGAAATTCATTATCTAATCAGCTTTTAAAATTGCCTCTTGGAGCTCCTCTATTTTTGCGATTAACTTGGCAAGTGTCAAAACCAACACCCTTGGCGAAAATCTCAATGGTTGCCTGTCCCAGATTAAATTAAACAATGTTGATTTCTGGTTGATCATAGATCACAGAATCCCTACAGTGTGGAAACAGGCCCTTTGGCCCAATACATCCACACCGACCCGCAGAGCATCCCCCTATAACCCACCTAATCTACAAATCCCTGATCACTTATGGGCAATTTAGCATGGCCAATCCACCTGGCCTGCACATCTTTGGACTGTGGGAGGAAACCAGAGCACCCGGAGGAAACCAATGCAGACACTGGGAGAATGTGCAAACTCCACACAGACAGTCGCCGAGGGTGGAATCAAACCTGGATCCCTGGTGCTGTGAGGCAGCAGTGCTAACCCCTGAGCCACCGTGCTGCCCCTGTCTCGTGCAACTTTCTGATTAACCTAGGAGATTACCTGTTGGTTGCTTCCTAAACAAATTAGTAATATTCATATGAAAATCTGATTCAAATTATTAAGTGGATGTGGAATTTTATAGCAACATTGTGAACAGCCGATAATACATACATTAGGGAATATGCATTTAGTAAGAGAAAATATCCAGATGTATAAATGTCAGTACATTAGTTGTTTCATTCATTAGTTAATCGGGTCGGTCCCTCCACTATTGAAAAAC